CCGTGCCGTGCCGTGCCGTGCCGTGCGCGAGAGGGCAATCGAGACATGTCGCAGAGGACTCCAAAACACTTTTTGCATCGGCGGCTAGGCAGAGAGTGACTGCTCCGGCGATGAATGGCAGGAGCGGGGGTACCGTTGGGGCGAATTGTGCCACCATGCAGGATGAGGAGGGAGGAGGGACGCGGCCGAAGGAAAATCAGGATAGGGCGGGCGGCTCAGGGGTCAGAACATTCCCTGAGCATGTGGCGTGCCCGGCCCCGCCGCACGGCGCGCGGCGGCTGCTGCGTCAACGCCCGGGGGCGGCGGGGCCCAGTGCGAAGCGAAACCTGAAGGTGAATGCATCAGTGTCGGAGCCAAGGGGTGGTGCGCGGGCCTTCGCGTGGTGGGCGGCCGTAGGGGGAGGCAGCAGGCCCCGGCGGAACGGAAGGCGGCGACAGACTCTGTCAGGGCGACAGGGCCCGACAAGGGGAGGACAGCCGACCTATCGCAGCTGAGGCAACTGCGACCGGCGTGTCCAGCAAAAGAACGGCCCGCGTCCTATCCCAAGGCGGGGGGGCAGGCAGGCAGGCGGCGGGCGGGGCAAGCGCAGGGGGGGGCGGATGGCGGCCGAGGCAGAGGACTCTAAAACACTAGGCCGAGGGGCGCTGGAACGTTCCAAGCTGACCAACGCCGGAGGAAGAGGGGGGGTAGGGGCGCCGGGGCCCAGCAGCGCCAGAGGGCTACATCCTGCGGAGCGCCACAGCAAGTCTTCCAACAGAGCATGTCTAGGAAGGCGCCAACTTATACACCTCCACAGATCCTGGCCAGGCCTGTTCTGAGATCAGGATCGGTGAAAACGCCCTCCTTGCTTGGTCAGGAAGGCATGCACACCGATCCTGGGCTAAGGATCGGTGCAACACTTCTATTTGGCGTCCTCCGACTCCTGGACCAAACTGGGAGTGGCATCGCATGTACGGCAAATTCGGCAAAGTCGTGTCGTGACGACTTGCGCGTTTTTGACACACCGTGAGTCGTTTAAGCATGAACGATCGTAGCTTCCTGAAAAGCGGGATCGTTCGATATCGGCCGATTCCAGGCCGCTGGCGGCGTTGAGTCCCGAATGCCCGCGCTGGGGTCGCCGCCGCGCCAACACGGCGCGAGTCTACCGTGCGTATCCTGGGGCTCCGATCGCCGAAAGTGCTCGGAAATACGAAGGCGTGCGGATGCCTCTCCTTGGGCTGCCGGCCCCTGTTGCGGCAAGGGCACGCTCCTCCTCCTCCTCCTCCTCCTCCTCGTTCTCCTCCTCCTCCTCCTTCTCCTCCTCCTCCTCCTCGTTCTCCTCCTCCTCCTCCTCCTCCTCGTTCTCCTCCTCGTTCTCCTCCTCCTTCTCCTTCTCCTCCTCCTCCCCCTCCTCCTCCTCCTCCTCCTCGTTCTCCTCCTCGTTCTCCTCCTCGTTCTCCTCCTCGTTCTCCTCCTCTTCCTCCTCCTCCTCGCTCTCCTCGTCCTCGTTCTCTTCGTCGCTCGTCGGGTGCTGCGAGGGGTGTCCCCTTCCCGAGGTGTCCCCAAGATCTCCAGGGAGACCCACACGGCCTCGAGAGCACACCGGGGGGCCCAGAATCTCCCAAAGGCTCCAGCATGACTCGAACAGCCGCAAGGCGTCCCCAGGATCTCCAGGGAAACCCACACGGCCTCGAGCTCGAGAGCACCCCACGAGGCCCAGAATCTCCCAAGGGCTCCAGCATGACTCGAACAGCCCCTGCCACACCATTTCGGCCCACCCCGTACACGATTCGTGGCTTCAGGGGGAGCCCCAACGAAAGCCCCAATGGCGGTGTTCGCAGCGCAGTGCTTACAACTGCGTATGTCTGGGTCCTCCGCAAGGAGAAGCTGTCTTGTTGTCATGGCGTTCTTGTTCCCGACCATCCTGTGGTGTTGGGTCCTCGTTTTAAGAGACGGCGCCACGCGTCTTCTTCCTTCCTTCCCTCGTCCTTCCTCATTCCTCCTCCCATCCCTGCCTCTGCCCTCCGAGCCAGTCACCCATTTCGGGACACCCGTGCACACCTCACACGTTTCGTGGACCCATTGGGAGCTCCACCGAAGGCCCCAGGGACTGCGTTCGCATGCGGCCGCTCAATGTCGGCACACCCCTCCCACGCTACAAAGCCCCGTAGGGAGCTCCACCGAAAGCCCCAATGGCTACGTTCGCATGCGCCCGCCGCACCGATTTCGGCACACCCTTCCCACGTTTCGTCGCCCCATAGGGAGCTCCACAGAAGGCCGCAGTGGCTACGTTCGCATACGCCCGCCGCGCCCATGTCCGCACACCCCTCAGACACTTCGTGGCCTCATAAGGAGCTCCACCGAATTCCCCAGTGGCTACGTTCGCATGCGCCCGCCGGACCGATTTCGGCACACCCCTCACACGTTTCGTGGCCCCAGTAGGGAGCTCCACCGAAGGCCCAAGTGGCTGCGTTCGCATGCGCCCGCCGCACCCATGTTGGCACACCCCTCGCACGTTTCGTGGACTCAGTAGGGAGCTCCACTGAAGGCCCCAGGGGCTGCGTTCGCATGCGCCAACCGCGCCCATTTCGGCACACCCGTGGCACGTTTCGTGACCCCATAGGGAACTCCACCGAAGGCCGCAGTGGTTGCGTTCGCATCCGCCCGCCGCACCAATGTCGGCATACCCCTCACACTTTTCGTGGCCCCATAGGGAGCTCCACTAAAGAACCCACTGGCTACGTACGCATGCGCCCGCTGTACCGATTCCGGCACACCCCTCACACGCTCCGTGGTCCCACAGGAAGCAATGAGAAACACGATAGCCCAATGCTTTCAGAAGGGATTGAAAACAGAACTGGACGAGGGACCCGAGGCAAGGAGGGTGAGGAGGGATGAGGGGGAGGAGGACGAGAAGGAGGATAGGAGGAGGGAAGGAGGAAGAACGCGGGGCGCTGTCTCTTCAAAACGAAGACCCAAGACATAATGGTTGGGAACAACCGGACGAGGGACTGGGAGTTGGGACGAAGACGGGGGCGCGCAAACTCCGAATGGCGCGCGCTGTATAGCCCCTGCTCCAACAGGGAGCGCGAGCCACGAAGCGAGGGGTGCGCCGACATGCATCGGGCGGACGCATGCGAACGTCGCTACTGGAGCCCTCGGTGGAGCTTCCTTTGAGCCACGAGGCGCTGTACGGGGTGGGGCAGACGCATGCGAACGTCGCCACTGTGGCCTTCGGTGCAGCTCCCTGTGGGGCCACGAAGCGCTGTACAAGTTGGGGCGGACGCAAGCGAACGTCGCCACTGCGGCCTTCGGTGGAGCTTCATGTGGGTCCAGGAAACGCTGCACCGGGTGGGGCGGGCGCATCCGAACATCGCAACGTGGCCCTCGGTGGAGCTCCCAATGGAGCCATGGCGGGCGCATGCGAACGTCGCCACTGAGGCCTCCAGTGGAACCCCCATTTGGGGCCACAAAGCGCTGACATGAATCGGGCGGACGCATGTGAACGTCGCTTGTGGGGCCTTTGGTGGAACTGCCTCTGGAGCCACGAAGCGCTGTGTTGGGTGGGGCGGCCGCATGCGAACGTCGACACTGGGGTAGTTCGGCCCCCTTTGAGAATCCGAAGCCCAAATCAGAATCCGAGGTCGAATCGAATCGGAGTCGGAATCGATCGAAACCGAATCGAATCGAGCTGAGTAAGTAGAAATGTGTTATGGCTGTGCAAGTGGCTGCACAGGAGGGAGCACGAACAAGGGTACGATCGGCTTCTCAATGAGGTCGGTCGGCCAGTCGAGCTGCGTGCGGCCAACTCAAAAATCCAGATTCGAACGAAGCGTCCGCAAAGCGTACGAGAACACCGTGCTCCTGCCCACCAACTAATCAATCAATTGCGCCGTGTCCGTGTCTGCACGATGCATCGGCCAAAACCGCTGGCAGGAAGGCAGTGGCCGCCATGTCACGAAGCAGGGACAGTTCAGCAGTCCCCCCTCATCATTCGCTCCCTCCTTCTTTGTTCCACCTGCTTTCCATTTTCTTCTTCCCCAACGTCAGCATCATCCTCCCGCCGTCCTCCGCATCACTATTTCGCCGCCTCCTCCTCATCCCCTTCCCGCTGCCCCTCCTCCTCGTCATCTTCGTCCACCTCCTCCTCGTCCTCCTCCTCGCCCTCCTCCTCCCCCTCCTCCCCCTCCTCCTCCTCCGCATCCCCCTCCTCCTCCTCCGCCTCCTCCTCCTCCTTCTCCTCCTCCTCCTTCTCCTCCTCCTTCTCCTCTTCCTCCGCCTCCTCCTCCTATTCCTCTGCCTCGTCTCCTCCTCCTCTTCCTCGTCTTCTTCCTCATCCTCCTCCTCGTCCTCCTTCCCCTCCACTTCCTCATTATTATTATCGTTCGTACTCGTATTATTCGTGTCCGTATTCGTCGCATTGTTTTTCTGTGTCTTCTTCTTCGCCTTGCTATTCGTACCCTCATTCGTCTCATTATGAATATTCTTAATGGTATGCATTTTCTTATTGTGCTTTTTATGACCCTTCGTGCTCATAGTATTCGTCTTCGTCTTCTTGCTATTCGCGTTAATATTATTCGTATTCGTAATATTCCTCTTCGTCAACTTCGTATTATCACACTTACTACCAGTGCTGATGTTATGTTTGGCATCCATGTTATTATTATTGACTGAAAATTTAATAGTTAAGTGTTGGAAACTATTACGATTACCCTACGAAAATAATACCATGTTCGTGTAAATACTATACATGCTTCGATTTCTGTTGGTAGTCTGGGTGTCATTGTGATTATTGTCGTTGGAATTATGAACATTCTTCACATTATTCGTCCTGCTCCTCCGCCGCATCCTCCTACTCGTCCTCCCCATCCTCCTCCTCCTCCTCCTCCTCCTCCTCTCCCTCCTGGTCCTCCTCCTCCTC